CACGTGTGATTGGATTTGTAAATAAATTCTTGTACTAACTCTATATGGTAAAAAATGAAAACGCTTTGGGAGGGAATTATACGTATTTCTTTTGCTCTTTTTTCGTATTTTCATATTCGTTTCATTCCTTTCTTTGTACATCTGCTTGTCGCCTCAATATATATTTTTTATTATATCACGTAAATGTAAATTATGGATAGAAATTTTTATATGTGGAAAATATAAATGTAGAGGAATTTATATATCTTTTATGTGTTGATTTTATTTTCGATCCATTTATTAGCTACGATCTTTTTCCATTATAACCACCTATATTGGTATAATAGAAATACAGCTTAAAAGATTTTGAATTAATTGAAAAAAAATTTATTACTCATTATATTCAAATTAAAGTCTTACAAAGACACATTAAATAATATGTGTTCATATGTAAAAAAATACATCTAATTTTTTCGAAGAAGAAATGCTACACTACCAAATTGACGCGGCGTTGAGTGGATTATGTGATACACCTGCACGCCCCCACACACGCAGAGCATTATAAATACAAAAAATGTTCCAAAATTTGGTTAAAATAAAAAAGAAAAGGGTTATGCTTTTTATACTAATTTGTTTTTTGAATAATAACAGTGATCAAAAAAAAGGTTTGAAGTTGTTTTTATAGTGTATCATCTAAATAAAAATAAAATAAAATACAACGTACAACAAAAATGTCTTTTTTTGACGCCATTAATCCATTCGATTAAATATTAATTTCGATCAATACGTCATAGTTTTCCTTGGAGAACAAGTTCGATGCAATTATTAATGTACTCTTTCTTTGGGCTCATATCAATGCCAAAATACTGTGACAGATCATCTCGAACTTGTTTTTTAGTGATTGACATTAGATTAGCGCTGGCTAAAATATTGCGAATTTCTTGTAGGATTTCTTCATCTGAAGGGAAGTTATCCATCCCTGAGCCAGGTGCACCTGCAAAGTAGGAATCGACTGCACTCATTGGACGCGATGCAGGTGTGTTGGAACCATATGCATCATGAGAGTATGCACGGGATATTCGATCATTACTTGCAAGATCACGAACTATTATTAATAAAATTAATTAAAAATTAAGTTTAGAATGTTTGCTTATTCAATTTCAATTTGAATTTGATCAAATGATAAGATACCTCTTTGTTTAGATTCTTCATAATAATCACCATATGCTGACCCAGCACGAGAACCGGCAACAGAGCCGCCTTTCTTCGAAGAACGATGGCTACGATATGAATGATCAGATGCTCGAGAATGTGCAGATTCATGAGAACCTGTTGATCCTACTTCCCATAATTCTTGTTCGTAATCTGACCACTTCTTTTTAGGAATACTCTTTGGATCAAATTTGCCTTCATCAGTTATCAAAATCTTTTTACCCTTTTCACCTACTACCATACGAGTGTTACCCCATGAGAAATCATCAAAATGCCAGAAAGCATAGATAGGAAGGAAGAAGGAGAAGACGGGGATAGCGAAAATATATACAATCATCCAACCAACATGCTCCCATTTACGTCGTAGAATAAAGATAATTGCTTGTAAACCTGAAATGATAACATGGAAAAAATCAGATTATTAATAGAGAATTAATAATAATAAATCAAGTCATAAAATTAATGTTAAAGCGATATTTACCATACACAGCAGCCAATAATAATAAAGATGTGACTGGGATAGTCGAAGGATCCTCAATAATGGTGTAAATAAGATATCCAAGATAGGCGACAGTTGCAGGCATAACCAAAGTAGCAAATAGATCAAGCATAACCACAAAACGCATAGAGAAACAGCAGAAACCGCAGAGTTGAGGCAAGAACATCAGTTCCATTAAATTATGAACAGTAGAGTTGATCCATCGACGACGTTGAGAAAGAAGAACAGACCATTGATCGGGAGCACTAGTTTTACATTGAGCATCGGGAACAAATGTCATCTTATTTCGAGGGAAATGTTTCATCATGAGAGTTGTTAAGTAACGATCTTCACCCAGATGTAGTAAATTCTTCTTATGAAGAGTATCGACAATATTTTCCGAATAATCATTGATCAAATCGTTGGCTATCAGCAAAGGTTTATGTGTATCAGGTGTACGCACACGGTACATGCAAAAACATCCAGGCAAACATGTGACAGTACCAAACAACGATTCAAAAGCTTTTGCCAAATGATGAGAAATGAAGTATTCATAGACTTGAATCATCGTTACCCAAGAATCTTTTTCGTTAGCAAGTTGAGTTTCACCACATAATCCCATTACTCTGGTATCATGCATAAAAGCCGAAACTAATCGATTCAATGAATCTGGTAAGACTTCAGTATCAGCATCCACCATCAACACGTATTCATAGAAACTAGGATTGACACCAATGACATTTTTGATTTGATGATACATTTCCAATTCAAGCGGAGTCATCTCAGAATTGAAATGAACCTTGTTCAGGAATTTCATTAATATCATCTGAGAATCACGTTTACCTCTATTACCCGGTCGAGATCGTTCTGTTGGTTTGCCAACTTTTACTATAACAAGATAAGGAACTACATGCCCACTGCATTCATAAAGACCCGAATAGACTTTGCCCATATTATGCTGTTTAGCGCCTTCTCCGAGAGATAAGAAACTTAAGGGTTCAGGGTCAACATTTGGATCCACGCCCAAAATGTCCAATACAATACGAGGTGTAGGTTGATCATTTCCACTACCGACAATCATACCATCACAGACAATAAACAGTAGCTTACGCTTGTCATCATAGCGTAAAACAGCGAGAGAATCTAAAGTTTTCCTAAGCGAATCTTCGCCTTCTGTATAACAAGGTATTTGGCAAACGACAAATTTATCGTGATCTTCAGGTTCCCGTTTAGGTCCGAGTTGTAAAGCAGCCAAGAATTTAAATGCGATAACAGCCACCAAGAGTGCTGAGGCGACAAGTAAAATATAACGAGAGAATAAACATTGAGGTGAATTACGATGATCGACTTTACCGATATAGAAAAGATTACGCAAGCATGTTAACTGAGATTTACGGCCGTCTTTAGTAAGAGGTAATTGATTAAATCGTCTTGTAATATCTTGACCAGAGTTTTGCTGGAATAGATCAACTATTAGACTATCCATAAAATCTGTGTCAACATCGTGATCAACAGGAACGCCACCTTGTCCAAGAGCTCCACGACCGCCTTTTATGTAGGTTGTTAGGTCATACACATTATCGTTAAGAATGGCGACTGATTTTAATTGAGAAACAGCCAAATCTTTAACAGACTGTGGTGAATAACCTTTTTGACCAACAAGATAATTAGCTCGAAGTTCCATCATTTTTTCAAAGTACCAATCAGGGCGATAATCAGCTGTGGAAAATCGGAAATCGTGATATTGTGCATTTTGATCTTTTGTGTTGTTCAAGTTAAAATCAAAGGTAACAGCAGGATCCACGGGACCTTGATCAGGAGTAGGGCCTGAACAGAGTGCACTCACTTGAACAGGGAATAATGTTGTAGCATCTGTTCCACCATATGCCAAAATTGCTTTTTGATCAATAAGATTTGGTGGATAATGACGAGGTGCAAATGTCGTTAAATCAAATACTTCACCACGAATAGAGACCAAAACATTATTTGGGTCTCCCTTTAAAGTATGTGTTGATAATTCAGCATCACTGTAAATGTTAACTCGCGGACAGATTAATCTTCCCAAAATAGCAATGACGAAGATAACCAACAAGGAAATGAACAAAATGATAATACAGAGAGCGACTTTTTCGCGCCATGCCATCTGAATGTCTTTTCGTTTCATGCCACCACACCATTTTAAGAAGGGTGATGGAACATACCAAGTGAGAAACCAAGTGAGAAATACCCATTTCTTACGAGCTGCAGTAACCTTATGCTTTTCATCAAGTTCTTCTTCAACCAACTGTTTTTCTTCTTCCGGTAACATTTTTTTCATTTCCATTTCTCGAAACATGTTATGTGATGGCGCATACACATCAGAAGTTGCATCGTCGTATTGACTGTATTCCTCTTGATAATAATCATCTTCCGAGACATATGAGCGATCATCTCCAGATACATTGGATTGGGTTTCATATTGACGTGGAGGAGAACGTAGACGAGCTTCAACTAAGTCTTGATTAGAAGGATATGAATGACGAGAAATGCCATCATCGCTTTGATTTCCGATATCTTGTTTTTTTCGTCCCTTCTTTTTTTGTTTATCTTCGTTGTCAATACTACGTAGACTATCTTCTAAACTACGCCATGCATTTTCGTCTAAATAAATCTGAAAAGTAAAGAGGATAAATAAGCTATTGAAATAGGGAAATGAATATTGGATATAGATAGATATAATACCTTGGTATGACCGATAGCCACATCTGTAGAACTCAGGCCAAAATTAGCGCATGCTGTTTCTACCTTTGCCCGAGGATTACGTTCATTTGATGCTTCTAGAATGGCCTCATAACGTTCAAGGAATTCTTGATGTGTGAATCCTATCGTGTACTCAACTACTAATTTCTTTGCAATTTCTGATAGTCCATATGATCGCACTTGGTTTTTAACGACCTTTTGATCGAATTTATTAGGAAGTTGTGCGTCGTTAGGTCGTATGCAGAAAATATACCAAGGAGTTGTTTCATCAAGTGTATCACAAAGTTCATCCAGTGCAGCTTGGATTTGGGTAGCAACACATGCAACTTTTGGTTTCTCTTGATCAGATGATGATGATGCTTCTTTTTTCTTTTTCCGCATTGAAGGTAGTCGCTGTGGTTTAACTGACTGCTGTGCTGCAACAATAGTTTTATCATTTCGGGGATGCATTTCCGTTGCCACTGCCTGATCGGTAAAGAGATCAGCGATAAAGCTATTATAAGAAGGAGCAACTTCATCACCACCTCGGAAGAGTGTAACGAAGTCACCGCTTAGATTATCAATGTTCTTCTCCAGAAAACCGGTAGAATCATAAGTCACTTGTCCGGCAAAATGTTGGATTCCGAATTGAGGCAATGCATTTAAACTTTTTCCGGTTGGTGTATAATTATTATGACCCGAATATTTTTTATTGAACGCGTCCAACATTGTTTGATCTGTTTTACGACTCGATTTATTGGCCTGATCATCCATAATAGCAATCATGCCCGTAGAAGGTTTCGTCAACATTTGAAGACATTCAGTATTATCAAAGAATGGCACTTGGGGGATTCCGGTGATTCCTTCGTCGCTATATTCACTATCTTTTGCTTCGAAAATTTGATGTAAAACAAAATTGTGTATTTTTTCGTTAGCGAAATTAACGCAAAATTGATCAAGTGAATTGGTGGATAAATTTTGGAAGCCAAGAAGATCAACAATGCCAACAAAACTGGCAAAATCATCGTGACAAAGTTTAGTATTGATATACTCGACTACCCAGCTGAACATTAAAGAATAGAGTGCTTTCACTAAGCCATCCCGTTGAATTCCAGCATTTTCAGGATCCAAAAATATCGAACACATTTCTTTTTTGATTAATTTTGTTTTATAAGTGAGAACAGTTTCGAGTGCACGTGCCTCTACACCCAAGAAATCAGCAACTAAATCGAGTAAATCAACATTCTTGACAAAAGCTGCATCTTGATGCTTGTTTTGATCTTGTGCAAATTGAAGATTGCCAAGATGTAATATAGCTGCTAGAAGTTTAAACATTTGCGCAACATGTTTAGTATGAAAACCTAGAGATTTTAAGGCTTGTTTTAGCTCAGTGAAATTGTTCGAATCTTCACTATTTGATCCTTTTATCGGTTTATTAATATTAAGATAGCGATATTGAGAAGCTTCAGTGAGATGGAGATGTGATTTTTCATCATGAGAGGCGCCGGCAAGAAAATAGTAAAACACGTGAAAATTTCTTTCATTAGATGGTACATTGACTACACGATTTTTATCCAATAAATAGTCAAGAGTTTTTGCACCGATTAATCTGCCTCGTTCATTAAACTGAAGTTCGGTATATTTTCCAAAACGAGAAGCATTATTATTTTGTAAGGTTCTCGCATTCCCGAATGATTCAAGAATAAACTCTGAAGCAGGAACTTGAGTTTGAACACGTGATGTTTTCTTCTGATTTGCACTCAGCGCGACAAGTTGTTTGACTAAAAGTTTTCGAGTAGAAGATTTTCCGCTACCAGACTCACCACTTTAATAATGAAAAATTATGTTAAGTTACGCGTATTTATGCATGATAACGTAAATATAGGTGGGAACGACAGTTATATATATATCGTAAATGGGGAAAGTAGTACTTGCCTCAAGATGATGGATTGGTCTTGACCAGTTCTTCGCATATGTAAATATGCCTGCGAAGCAAGTTGAAAAGCATGCGGAGGTAACTTAGTTCTTTGACTAGAGGTGTCTTTATAATCTGAAACATATTCTTGTACAGTAGCATCACTAAAGATGGGAAGTTCTTTATATGGGTTGATGGCAACTAGAACCGATTGATTTATACGGGAATAAATGACATCTTTTTGATGACGGTCTTTAAGAAAAGCTGTTATAGAATCAGGTGAGATTGATTGTATTTTTGTTATGTCGGCTTTATCGTCGTTTGAAGATTTTGTTTTTCCCTTGCCCATTTTGAGGTGAGCCGCCGTTACGGTGGTGATGTCGTTTTCGTTGCAGTAATATTTTTTTGACTGGCAAGGTAGGTCTTTTAATATTAAGTATTAAAAATTAAATTATTATATATACTAACTACTACTACTACTACTACTATTATTATTATTATTTTTATTATTATTGTTGTTGTTGTTGTTGTTGTTGTTATTATTATTATTATTATTTATTACTCTAATTGCTAAATATACCTAAGTAGTTTTTTTCTATGCAATAAAAATAAACGTTTCTTTAATATTAATACTTTTAGAAATAAGGAACGAAAAAGGACAATTTTTTGTAAAGAAAGCGAAACTGTCTTTTTCCCTTATATTGTGTAACAAAGTCAGTAAAATGAAAAAGTTTTTTTTTTAGCTATACACTTTCCTCCCAATATGATAAAAAGGATAATAATTATCACTATGATATTAAATTATTTTTTTTTGAAGAAGAGTGAGAATGAGGGAGGAAGGAGTGAGAGAGCAGCAAAGGAACAGGACAGACAGATAAATTTGATTGTGAATACAAGTGTGAAACGCTTTGCTATATATATTCTTATACTTAATATATTTTAATGGTGTATAATATATTAAAATCATGTTCGATGCAAAAGCAAAGGCACACATTCCATACAATTGATGCACACTTTTATATATCAACCATAAAAAACCTAGACCAAATTAATGTGAATCTAGTGAGATATATATATAGCTCGGTTTTTACTTTTTTCGCCCTAAGATTAACAACTCAAATATAAAAATGTAAGTTTCTTTCTTGATTAAATGTATAAATGTAGACTGTTTATATGCCTGAGAATGCATTATACATCGACCAATTGACTCTGGGTGGTAAACTATCGGTATAGTGTGTAACACTTTTTTAAAAAACAAGTGTTATTTTTAAACTGTTGATTTATTGGCATCGGTGATTATGCATATTTATTTTGATTCTATTTTTATATTAGCTCTAATCAAAATTCTTTTTTTTTTGTAGTTTTAGGGTATCTGAGATTTTTAGAATGGAACATCATGCCATCAAATTAATCGTTAGACCTTCAACGAATATATTTGATTTTTACTAATATTACAATTAAGCATATATCTATCACACGCACCCTCTTTTCTTTCTGTTACAAAAAAAAAGGAACTCGATGACGATATGGACATAGTCAGTAATTTTTAATTAACGCACAAAATAAAAGGTAATGATTTACCTCATGGTCACACACACGAGCAATGACACCGCCTCACAGGAACGTATATATAGGTTTTTACATAGCCCCACATTTCGGTAAATCTTTCCATTGTTACAGTCATACGCTGAACTAATAAATTGAGATTCTTGTCTTTGGCGAGCAAGATTATTCTTGTACTTGAATTGATTTATTGAGCTTCGCCTCGTCTTAAACTATCTAGCTTTTAAACTTTAACAATCTCCGTCGAATTAAAATTGTCCTGATAAGCCACATGAAAATAATAATTTGTAGCAAATCAAAGTTCAGGGTCATATATATCGGACTTATATTGATGAACAAATTTCTAATTACATATGTAAAAATGTCCTATACACTGGATAAGCACCAAATCGGTTCAAAAGTTCTAGATCAATATGAGCACGATTCTCTAAGTGCACATTCTCTAAGTACAGATTTAATTAAAATTCTCTTTATAAGTGCAGATTATTTTCGGATTAAAGTACATATAGTTATATGTACTTTGATCTTTCTAAATACAGATTCTTTCTAAATGCCAATTTTTGTCATTTTTATTATAGTTATATTAATATTGCGTTTAGTAATACTAAAAAATGCAATAGGAATTCATTTTATTAATAAAATATTGATCTTTCTTTTTACATTAACCATTTTTTATTTTTCATATAAAAAATAAATTTATAATTTATAGTTTAACATATATTTTTCAGAGTTTTTCATACAAAATATAAAATTTTAATTTTTATATTTTATATGCAATTTAAAAATACTGATAAAAAATATTAGATTAAAAATTAGACTTAATAAAAAGTTATATTTTATTAATAAAATAGATTTTAATAAATATTATTATATTTTTTTCTTTAATACAATATTTAATATAATTATAAAAAGATTAATTTATTAACAGAATTTAAAATTTTCTTTTTGTATTAAAGTTTATAATTTGTATTAAGAAATAATTTTTATTTTTATAATATAAATTAATAATATTAAAGATTTATATTAATCAAGTATTTTTTTGATAAAAATTTTTATAATAATCGAAAATTAATAGCTTGACTCAAAATTAAATCAGTAATTATAAAGAAATTAAGCTTTAAAATTTAAAATTTAATTATATTATTATATAAATTTAATAATTATATTTTTTATAATTTATTTAATTTGAATTTTTTTATTATCAAGTAATTATATTAAAAAAATTTTTTAGTTATAACTTTTTATAATTATTAAATTTTGTATTTTCAAAAATAAAGTTTAAATTATATATAATTAATAATAAAAATTTATAAAAAAATAATTATTATTTTTAATAATTTAATTTAATTTTTTTAAAAATTAATTATATTTATTTTAATAAATATATTTTTTTAATATCATATATTCTTTTATAATTCTTATTATTTATATAATATCTAATGAAATTAATAAATATTATAGTTTTTTATTAAAATTATAATTTTATTAATAAATTTTTTTTATATTAAAATAAAACTTTTAATTTATAATTAAATATATATTTTTCAGAATTTTTAAATTTTTTCTAATTGTAAATTTATTATTTTTAGTTTATGAGATAATTGAATTAAAAAAATCTCTATAGTCATATCTTTTTTTAGTTATTTAATTTACTTTTTCAAATATGATAACTATAAAAAAAATTAATTATACTATAATTATAATTATAATGTATAATAAATATAAATATATATATATCTTATATGAAATAGAAGAATAAAGATTTATATTAAATAAATATTAATTTTAATTATATTAATAAAAATAATAATTATATATAAAAATAATATTTCTAAGTTTATATTAAAAATTTATTATATATAAATAATTCAATCAATTAAATCAATTAATAATTAAAACTAAATATTTTTAAAAAGATTTCTTTATAATATATATATAAAGAAGAGAATTATAATGAAGAGAATATTATCATGAATTATTAATAATATATTAGTAACTTGTTATATTTATTATATCTCTTTTGTCTTTATATAATAATATTTATATTTTCAATCAAAATTATAATTACATTCCTATAAAAAGTCATGCGAAAATTTTAAGAAAAGAATTGAATATTTCTAAAAAAAAATCAGGAATACTGTTTCCTATTAGCTCCTTGTTTTTTCAAATAATCCAATTATTATTTCCAAACATTCATTACTTTCTATTATTAAGACTTTACTCGTTATTTGGCATATTTTATTGTTAGTAAGAGGGTAATATCTTCGCATTCGAGGTTAGTCAAAACATCAAATATGAAAAATTTTATTTTTATCTTATTTGATTTATTGAACTTCTTGAATTTATTGCATAAATTTAAATTTTGAACTTGAGTTTTAACTTTTCTGGATATTCATGAGCTTATACCAATTTTTTTTAGCTTAAATTCTTTATGCGGTTGAATTATGTTAATTTTTATAAATGAATTCACTTCGAAAAATGGCATTAAATACAATTCAACAGCTGACAATTACGTATATAGCTAATTTTTAGCATACATAATAGAAAGTATACACATTGTGACAAAATAAGCAAGAAAATGGTTTAAACTCGTTGAAGCGAAATTCATGTGTCTGAATTTGAATACAAATTAACACTTCAATATTAACTTGTCTCCATTTTTTTATTACCGATACATAAGATTTCTTTGGTGACAATATTGCTGTAGTTTCCGATAGTATAAAAAAAACTTACGGTTGGTAAACAATGCAATATTAATAATTAAATCTCTATTTGCTATTTATTTTACTGATTGTTATTTTTAATTA